TACCGGCAAAATAATAATTTAATTTCACCGCAGTTGGGCACGATACAAAATTGCACGACAAAAATAATAAATAAATTTTGTGCCGACCGGTCATGTCGATTTCAGCTCGCTACGTTGGCCACCCCTTATCCACCTACCCCTCCCGCACACAACGTGGTGGCGGAATATTTTTATAGCCGCTTCCTTTTTGCTGGCATAAATGCCCATGCGGTGGAACAATAGCGCGCGAATTCTCCAATCTTGCAATAATTACGTTACAAACGCACAAAGAAAGATGTATCTCTGTAAATATCGAGTGATGCGATATTCTTGATTTGGACCACTTTCCTTTGTTCCTCTCCGTAATGTATTTTGAATCGTGCAGAAATTTTATCAAATATGCAATATATTGAATTAGAAAAATGCGTGTAATAGCTCGAGCAATGAACCAGATTCGAATTCTCGAAACGATACGACCTCCTCTATGATAATTTTAGACGATTTTGATTTTCTCGAACTGCGCTCCTTGTATCGAATTAAAAGAAAAAAAAATGCACGTAACATCTCCGTGATTATTCTATGATGTCTCTCGTTTCGAGTAATAATTCAGATTACTTTTAATTCTGTCGAAATCAAAGTGTGGTTAAAAATAGTTTCCCTTTTTTCCTCTTTCGATCCTTCCACCATTATTCCACGTTAATTTTCAGAGCATCTTGGTATCCCTCGGTCGTCTTTTCGGTAGAAACTGTCGTCCCAAAACCCAAAAGCGCCATGGTGTATCCGAGACACTTGACGCCATTAGCGGCTCCAAACTGTTCCACGCGCAGTTAAAGTGATTTGCGACTATCCGTAGCCAGAAACCACCTCTCTTTTCGCTTTATCAGCTTACCTTCCTCTCTCTCTCTCTTCTTCTTTCACTCCCCTCGCTCGACCTTTCTCGCACGAACCTGCTTCCTACTCTACACCTCCTTCGCGATTATGGAAAGTGTATGTGCGTGTGTATCGATTCGAATTTATCTCCGTCCCCTTCTTTTTCGATCGCCCATCTTCCGAGATCGCCGATAAAAATTCCCAAAAATACGTGTAATAAAAAAAAAAGAAAAAAAAAAGAAAAAAAATCGAACCGTGTATATTCGAAAATGAAGCAGTTGTTCCCCTGTACACATCCACATCCTATATACGTGGAATAGAGTTATTCTACGTTTTATCTTGCATTTTATCCCGGCCCGTTTTCCATGCCCGTGCAACCTTTCTGTTTTCGCATTCGTTGAAAACCATAATGTTTCTACCGCTGATATTTCAGCTAAATAACTACGTGTGACAGCCGTGGTTAAGCGCCGAAATGAACGGGCGCTATTAACGATTAAAAACAAAAAAAGGGAGCAGCGGGACAGGACGAAAAGGAGGGGGGCGGGAGGAGGAGGAGGAAGAGAAGGAGGGGGAAAAAAAAAAGAGAAACAAGCGGCCGGTAGAGAAAAAGGCGAAATATGAGAGCAGTTAATAACACTTTGCGGGAAATAATACTGCGAGAAAGGCCGCTTACCGTGACAAATAACGACTCTCTCGTTCTTTCGCCTCCCCTCCCCCTGCTCCCACTCTTCGCCTCTCTTTCGATTCACCCCTTCGCCCCTCCTTCCACCTGCCTTTCCACGCTCTTTCTATTCACGCCTCGCGATCTACTCTACATGCCTCTATACTATATGGGCGCGAGCAGAGACTTTACGAGACTCTGCCAACAAACTATATCCTTTGCGACTCGTCGTCGCTTCGAATCATCGAGAGGTATTTATATTCGAATCCAATCGTGTACGTATATATAAATACAAACTCAAAACGCGTGTTCTTCATCTTCGCCTCTTCTCTCGTTCGACGGCCCCTTTGTCACGACGAATTTTTCCCAATCGATCCTCGACTCGAAAACGTTTTCTTCCTCGGCCGTCCCCTCTCGCGCGTCCAAGCTCATTAGATCGACCGGTAGCGTGAACGCGATAACAACGTCAGCCTGCATTCAGCGCGGCACGGACGTCACCGTCGTCGCTTGAAACATTCACAGTTGACAGATGTCACGCGCTGACCCGCGTCACACCTGTCACCTGTCAACCACCGATCCGGACGAATTACGCGCTACAACGAGCACGTGTTACGTCTCGAATAATGCGCGGAAAATTTCACCGAGCTATCATTATATCGGCTGATACGTGGGGCGCGTGCAACACCCGTTGACGGAAAAATGATGGACGAGTTACGAGATAGCGCTATCTCGGCATCGTGGCCGGGCCACGTTAAAGACAAGCGGCGCTCGTATTCGCGCGTTTCCAAACTTTCCAACCCAATCTCGATCTATCTCTTCGATCAATGGGATTGGAATCGTTGGAAAAAGAGATCGTCGATTATTAGCAAAGTTATTCTTTATGAGAGAATAATGCTTCGTTTCAACCAATTAAAAATGTTGGTGAAATTAATTTAAGGAAAATCGGATTGAAAAAGTACAAAGTAACAAAATTTGTTTTAAGTAACACGACGGGAATAGTTTTTCTCGTCGAAGTAGAATGATCAATCGATTTTAATGGAATTCCTCTTTAATTCTTAGCATCAATTTAGATTCTTTTTAATTCCAAATAAATCAGATTTTGAGCAAAAATTCGTTAAAAAGTCACTATATCACTAATGATTATATCTCCTTCAACTTCTTTGCTTTTACTCAGTGTCTAATTTCAAGGACATGTTTATTTACTAATCTACCTAGGTTTCGTCTAATTTCCTCTACTTAAAGCAACTGTGTTGGAACAACGAAACACGATGACGGACAGGAAAAGGTTGGGGAGTGAGGAGTGAGCCCCTCGCGCCGAGCCTCTCGTTCGTTGGCTCGGCTGGACAGAAGGGAGGGGGGAAGGGGGGGACAAGGTGACGGTGTTTCGCCGTTGGAAAAATAATTTCTCGACGGTGTTTGCGAGCACGCCCACTTCGGACTTTCTCTATTCTTCCCCCTTCCTTCGTTTTGCCCTCTTCAACCGGCCTTTTCTCCGGCCGCCTCGCGCTTTTCCCGACTTTATTTCACCGGCGAAAAATTATCGTCGTATTCGTCGTACGCTCCGCTTCCGAGACCGCGCTCGTGTGCGTGCGTACGTGTGCAAACGACGCAAGAACAATGGCACTGAATTGGCGTCTAACCGGTGAGCAATAGGTCCATCCCTTTCGTCCGAATAAAGGCGCTCCCGTTAATTAATGGAGCCTATAAATCACCACTCGGAATAATACCCAAGGAGACAACAGGAATAGTTTATAAAGCGGCTTGGGAGTGCCGATGCCTTTGCCTTTCCCTTTACCATTACCATTCACGGGCGCGCGGACATCTCAACGATTTTCACTTTTAACCGTGTAACAGTGTACCGAGCAGTTCCTCCACACATACCCTCACCCGTATTATATTCCTTAAGGCCTCGTAACTTATATCACGATACATTCAAATTTATTTCTTTCAGATGTAATCATATATCATTTACACGGATCATCCATCGATTCCTGTAAACATCCTTTCATATTATATCGCTAATAATACGAATTATATTGTATCGTGATAATCTGTAATGTACTGGCTAATTATAGAGGAATAATTCTTTCAAATCGATCCCTTTCTTCTGCGTAATTGCCGATTGAAAGTTTCCAATTTCAAACCTTCGCCATCCCTTTTTCCCACAGAATTCTTCTCGTGTTCAGGCGCGTGAAACGCGAGGCGATTACCGGGGCGAAAGGAATAACAGCGTATATAGGAGGAAGAAACGAGATTGCTCGTTTTTCCATTCGTTTCTCTCTTCTAATTCGTTCCCTCGGGCGAGGTTCGGGAGGACGACGTCGCGGCACGTGAAATTTATCTTAAACGTAAAACGAACCAAACACTCTCGGCTTGATATACGGTCGCGTAATGTCTATATTTTTATTATTTACGGGCTGCGAGATAAGTGAACAGACTCCCTCTTTCGCCGTTACACACCCCCACCCTCCCTGACGATTCGAAGCGGGGAGGTTGGTGCATGGAGAGGCGTGATAGAGTCTACAGCCGCAAGAAACGCGGACATTCGTTTCCACGTAGTACGACGTGTATAATGCCAACTTCTCAGCTTGAAACCACCCTTTCTCTTTCCGCTCTCCCCCACCTTCGATGTATCGCGCGACCTCCCTCCCCCTCCCCAACCCTCTGCGTACCTTTTCCGTACTGTCTCCGCAACCAACACCGCCAACGCTGCCATTGTATCGAGAAATATCACGCGCCTATAAATCATCTCCAACACCGCATATTATACCAGCGAACTATTCGCGAAAGGTAGGAGGGAGGGGGAGAGTGGCGGTGGCGGTGGTGGTGGTGGTGGTGGTGGTGATGCACCGTTCTGGGATACTGGCTACCAGCACCAGTACCAGTACCAGTACCAGTACCAGTTCGGAGGGGTGGTCGGGTGTCCGGTATCGGGTGTCGGCTGTCGGCCGATGGCCAGTCACCGATGGCCAGAACGGTTGTTGCACGAGTTTTCGATCGAAACTGACATTCGACATCCGATTATTTTATTTTTCCTTCGACGCCACTAACCGCCGTCGAAACGTAAAGAATCGTAGTACGTGCCCCGTTTAACCCTCTCCCCCCTTTTGGAAACTCTTGGGAAAAATTTGCGGAACACGGGACGATGGAACGAAGAAATCTTTGAAAACGTGGGGAGGAGGAGGGAGGGGAAGAGGAAGGGGGAAAGAGAAAGAATCGAATGACTTCCGATTAAATTCATTAGGAGAGGAGCGAGGGAGGGAGGGAGAGAAAGAGACAGGGAAGAGAAAAAAGAAAAAGGGAGGAAATATCGGGAAAAGCTTGGTCGTACATTCGAAGCGATAACGAGGCTAGAAAAATACAAAAGTGGGACATAACGGTTTGGCGGCAGCCGTAACACGTTCGCGGTTGGTAGCAATAGTGGTGGCGGCGTACGCTTTGGAAAAAGGGAACAGCGATGTGGTGGTGGTGGAGAAAGAGAGTAAAAAGGATGGGGGAGGCGAAAGGGGAAGGGTGGAGGGTGGCAGGAGCGAGCAACGAGCGGCGGACAACGGGCAATGAGCAGCGCGAGCAGTGGGCAGTGGGTAGCGGCGGGCCGGGCAGCGGACAGCTGGCTGGAGGCAGGAGGCAGGAAAGAGGAGGTGGTGACGGTAGTGGCGGCAGTAGCGGTAGAGGTAGCAGTGGTGGCGGCGGCAGCGGTGGTGGCGGTGGCGGTGGCGGCAGTGGCGGTAGCGGCGGCGGCGGCGGTGATACAGACGGAGGATGAGGAAGCGGTGAAAGAGCGGGGGAAGAGGTAAACGGCTGTCGACCCATCGCTCATACCACGTTTCTCGTACACACGCTGATCTAGTTGTATTTATGCCAGCAGTGAATCACGTCGAAGGTTTGATTTGTCGATGGCTTTTATGGACGGGAATTAACGCGTGCAGCGCTTCGCATTTTGTTACGGCAAATGCCGTTCCCTCCACCCCCCTTCCCTCCCCCTCTTCCTCTTCCCTCCTCCGGCAACCCCACCTCCTCCCACGATCCCACCAGCCACCCGTTTATACCCCTCTCTTTTAGTCGGTTCAACATTTCCAAATAACCGGTACTCGTTCCATGATTTGTACTTCCACTTTACCAATTTTTTTTTAATGCGAAAACAACAGCGGCTCGTCATCCTTCCGCGATTCGACTCCTAAATACAGATAAAAGGGGGAACGAGTCGATATTTCGGATCGATCTGCAAAACGATAAAATTAAACGTCGTATCTCTCTCTCTCTCTCTCTTTCTCTTTCTCTCTTTCTCTCGTGGAGGTACACAGGCTTTCTCGATTTTTCTTCGCCACATACACTTTCCAGTACTTTCCCTCTTCTCCGCGTTAAATCGGCACGCGGTTCGTTCGTGCTTTTAACATCGGCATTCTTTTAAACGCCTTTTTAATCCCCTTCCACGGGTGCGAAAAAAGAAAAAAGAAAAAAAGAAAAAAAAAAGAAAGGAGGGAGCGTTATTCTGACACGCATGATTCGAGTCGTTAATCGCTCCACGTTGATAATTCAAGCAAGCGGGTAAGGAAGGTACGGGGGCGCGCGCGCCTAGCATCATCGACAACGTGAACCGTAATTGTTTAGGAAAGATGGCACTTTGCTCGGCATTTTGTCGCCTTGGACCCCTAATGGCCGGTGGTTGATAACAAGGTTTACAAACTAGACAGCGCTGCCCACTGAGAGACGTTGACAGCGGCTTTCAACCTTCCCGTAGCCGGCTCGATTCGTGGTCAGTTGAAGCGCGTTACTGGTACTCGACATCTCGAACCCGTATCGCCGCGTGTTCCTCTTACACGTGTCGCTTTACCAACCCCTTTACGAGGCAAAGTATAACTCGCCAAAGTTATACCACCACTGACCGAATAGATATACGGAATGTATGTACGCGCGAGGAGAGGAAACGATACTCGCATGGTAGAGAAGAGCACGTGCGCACGTTGCAACCCGTGCACTGTAAGCGCGGTCAGGCGCGTTACGCGACGCAAGAAGAAGGCTTTTCCGCTAATCCTTGGTGCGGCACTAAACGAGCTGGTGGATTTGTTGGAAAGAGCTTATACTTGCTGAGACAGAGAGAACGCCCCTCCCTTTCTCCTCTCCTCCCTCCCCACCCCTCCCCGTCCCCCTTCGCCTCGGTTAGAACGGGAGAAAGAGGAAATAGCGGAAGGTAGGGAAAAGGTGCAGCAACGTGGCTTCTGCTCGTGAAACTACAAAGCTCCTATCCACACGCGGGCTAACAACAATGGGATGATCCTGCCGGATTACGCGATCCGACACGAAGGAAAGGCCGGCTGCTTCGTTTTGTTACCGGTATTCAAGCGCGACTACGCTTGCGATACAGCTTAACGATTCCACCAGTACAGCGACACTGTTCCGATACTCGCTTCTTCTTTCGCGGTATACGATATTTCGTATTTCAAAAATATCTTTAAATATCTTCGTCTTTTTACACATTGTACTTTGTATTTCGTTTTTTTTTCAATAAACAAAGGATAAGAAATAATTAAGTGTACCTTTTTTTTTTTCGAAAGCGATACGACAGAGGTGTGTATTGAGCGATTTAATGCTTGACGATATACCAACGATACATACAGAAAAGGGTAGATAAGCAGTCAACCAACCAACCAGCCAGTCAGCCAGTCAACCAGGTAGATAGAGGTACGGACGAAGAAGAAGATAGGTAACAAGCGCGCGTGAGAAACATGGAGGAGAGAGAGAGAGAGAGAGAGAGAGAGAGAGAGAGAGAGATAGCGACTCGGGTGGTGACGTTGACTAATGATGGTGGTGAGAGAACACACTCTACTCTAACCCGACCTGTTGCACCCCCAATAAACCCCGTCAAACGACGCACCGCTAAATAGAATCGTACCGTGTCTCTCGATCTTACAGACTGCTTCGTGCCAACGAGCGGGAACACGATTTCTCGTTACGATTAAATTCCTTTAATAATACTGATATTTTAAGCGGTGGGACAACAGAGATCGTTATAATATTTTCTCATATTATTATTCATCACAATTTTTTCTCGTCTTTTTTATCGACTCTGCGTTGGAAAATGAAGTAGGCTCTATCGGTAAAAAATCGTATCACGTGACTCGATACAATTATACGATGAAAAAACAATTCAAAGTTTGTCCACGAGATGGACATAGTCGTCGTTGAGCAAATACGACTGGCAAAAGAGTGTCAATGGCAGTGATGGCGGTAACGGTTTGTTGATCGGAACACCGTTGGAGACGATATTGGAAAGACGCGTCCGATGAAAGACCGAATCGACGATCTTCCGTTCTCGCAAGACTGGCCTGACCGCACCATGTCGAGCACTCTTCAACGCGGATTCAATCCCGGTGAGCCACGAAATAATCATCTCCCGCCGATTCATCCCTTCGCCACCAGAAGCCTCTTATTGCTGGAATCGTCCGCAGTCTGGCCAGGAATAAACGTCTGTCGTTCTCCCTTTCTTGCTTCTCTCTTTCTCTCTCTTTTTCTCGTGCCAATATTTTCCGTTCTACCGATCTTTCTCTTTTCTCACATCCAACATCGTTTAAACAATACGGTCTCCTTATTGTTTTTATCAACGGAGAATGAACAGAAAAACGGACGCGATCTCGTATTTTTCTAAATCGAGTAGAAAGTTATCGTTTCAAATTTTTTTTCAATTAATCAATTTTTTCATTTTTTATCATATTACTAACTAGTGCGAATTGTTAGAACATTTACAAAAAAATATCAGTTGTTATCTTGATAATTTTTTAATATATTGTTAAAGTTATCATCCTAAATAGTGTTGTGAAAATTTTAATTGTCGATCGTTGTTAAAAAGTTATTAATAAAAATATTTCTTTGAAACAGTTTATGTTAAGTCAGGTTAAGTCAGCTTAATTTTATTCAAGTTTATTGATGGTTCAATGATAGTCTAAACTCATCAAATCAGCTAACAGTTAAATGAATTTTTACTTAATTTTGATTGAGATGAAATTAAACTCAGAATCAACACAAATTACTTGATATCAATCAAAAATTTATTTAATTATTGAACTCGCTTGATGCAAAAATTAGGTTAGGTTAATAACTTTTTGACGAATAACTATTGACCATCAAATAAAATCTTCAAAATGATACTCAGAATGATCTTGACATTTGATTTTTATTAAAAAATATAAATATCGAAATAGATAAACAAACTGATATCTTTTTATAAATATTTAACTCGCTATCTAGTAACACTATTGAAAATATTTCGATTCGATCAGCCTTTTCAGACAATTGACAAGTGTTGTTCTGAACCACATTATCTTGTTCTCGCGAAATTGAAAATTTCACCTAGTTATGGATATTTAAGTACGACGATACGCATTTCGAATTAAGCGATTGATCTCGTTACTTTTCGCTATTCACCGTACACAACAGATAAATATATTTTTTACTGACCACGCAACTTTTACACGCCTTCGTTGCTTTATAGCCGTATTGTTCTGAAAATCAAGAAATATGTCACCGACAGCGAGGGTAAAATGCTCGGGAACCAAGCGTCGTCGTAGCAGTGTCACGGCCAGGAAAACGTTACTCTCCTTGCTCTTTTCGTCTCTCCTCCCTCGTTTCTCAAGCCTAGATGCACCGCGTCTTTCGTCTACTTAGATTCCCTCCCGCCCTCTCCTTCCCCCCTCCCCTCCCCTATCTTTGTTTTCTTCTCATATCATTCGTTGCTTTTGTATTATATTTCCGTATGCTTCAATCCTTTTAAGATAAATTTCGAATTAACGAAATCTAGACTTCATATAATGAATTATCCAGCATGCTTATACTTATTTTCCATTTTCTCTTTATGTCGAACACAAAGATACGAATGTAGAAATATGAAACATCAAAGTTTTAACTTATACATATTATTAATAGTTTTGGTAATAATTATACTTCGAATAGTATGATTAAAACTTACTTTGCTGTAGTAATTGTTGAAAATTTCAAATATTTTTGTTTTTTATGATAATAAGAAAAAGTAAAATTGGTGTATAAGAAATATATAAAATATAATTTAATTAATAGCAATATAATTCAAATTCTCCGAAGATTTTAAAAACAAATTATATCAATTATAAGCCCATGAAAATTAAATACAATTTATACACGTGCCGTTATTGCATAACGAAATAATTTTATCTATTATGTTTATACAATTAAACTTTTTTATTGACAACTTAATATTTTCATAATTTATTTATACTTTTTTCAAAAAATACACATTGTCTCCTATAAATATCCAAATTTTACAAATTGTATTTATTCACCTTTGCCTTTATTTAGACAAAATAAAACGATGAAAAGTTCTTAAATAAATCCTATAATATTCACATTTCATACATTTTCATTTATTTTTTTTATTTATTTATTGAGATATACTCCCTGTACAAAAGATAAAAACGATATTTCTATATTCGTATCCCATTATCAATCGTTCGTTATTTCATTCTTCGAATGATCACTTCGATCAATCGTCATTTTCGAAGCCAGCGTTACATTTTCAAGCCACTTTCGAGTTCGGATTATTGGCGAGGAAAAACGGCGTGGAAAGAAGCCGAGAATCAAAAGTTGATTTCGCAGATGCCGGTCTTGGGTGAAACGTCCAACGGACGCTCAACTTATTGGTAATCCGTGCAAGGGGGTACACATTCGATTTTATTTCACGGTTTCCTTTATGCGAGAGACGTAGAATTTCTATTAGCTTTGTACCCCGGTTAGATT